GCACTTACACATTACAATACCAAACGTCAACACGTTCATATACTTACAATATACTGATATTACAATACCAAACGTCAATGGCAGTTACAATACTGATATTACAATACCAAACGTCAACGTCAGTTACAATACTGATATTACAATACCAAACGTCAATGGCAGTTACAATACTGACATTACAATACCAAACGTCAACGGCAGTTACAATACTGACATTACAATACCAAACGTCAACGTCAGTTACAATGACATTTATTACAAACGTCAACAGCACTTCACAATACTGATATTACAATGCCAAACGTCAATGGCAGTCACAATACTGACATTACAATACCAAACGTCAACGTCAGTCACAATACTGACATTACAATACCAAACGTCAACGTTAGTTACAATACTGACATTACCATACCAAACGTCAACGTCAGTTACAATAATCACATTACAATTCCAAACGTCGACGGCAGTCACAATACTAACATTACAAACATTACAAACGTCAACGTCAGCGTCAGTTACAATACTGACATTACAATACCAAACGTCAAGGGCAGTTACAATACTGACATTACAATACCAAACGTCAAGGGCAGGTTACAATACTGACATTACAATACCAAACGTCAACAGCACTTACAATACTGATGTTACAATACCAAACGTCAATGGCAGTTACAATACTGATATTACAATACCAAACGTCAATGGCAGTTACAATACTGATATTACAATACCAAACGTCAATGGCAGTCACAATACTGACATTACAATACCAAACGTCAACGGCAGTTACAATACTGACATTACAATACCAAACGTCAATGGCAGTTACAATACTGACATTACAATACCAAACGTCAAATACTGGCATTACAATACCAAACGTCAACGGCACAATACTGATGTTACAATACCAAACGTCAATGGCAGTTACAATACTGATATTACAATACCAAACGTCAAGGGCAGTCACAATACTGACATTACAATACCAAACGTCAACGGCAGTTACAATACTGACATTACAATACCAAACGTCAACAGCACTTACAATACTGATATTACAATACCAAACGTCAAGGGCAGTTACAATACTGACATTACAATACCAAACGTCAACAGCACTTATAATACTGAATACTGATGTTACAATACCAAACGTCAAGGGCAGTTACAATACTGATATTACAATACCAAACGTCAATGGCAGTTACAATACTGGCATTACAATACCAAACGTCAATGGCAGTTACATTACTGACATTACAATACCAACATCAATGGCAGTCACAATACTGACATTACAATACCAAACGTCAACAGCACTTACAATACTGATGTTACAATACCAAACGTCAATGGCAGTTACAATACTGATATTACAATACCAAACGTCAATGGCAGTCACAATACTGGCATTACAATACCAAACGTCAATGGCAGTTACAATACTGACATTACAATACCAAACGTCAACAGCACTTACAATACTGATATTACAATACCAAACGTCAATGGCAGTTACAATACTGATATTACAATACCAAACGTCAACGTCATTCACAATACTGACGTTACAATACCAAACGTCAACAGCATTTACAATACTGACATTACAATACCAAACGTCAACAGCACTTACAATACTGATATTACAATACCAAACGTCAATGGCAGTTACAATACTGATATTACAATACCAAACGTCAACGTCAGTCACAATACTGACATTATAATACCAAACGTCAACAGCACTTACAATACTGATATTACAATACCAACATCAATGGCAGTCACAATACTGACATTACAATACCAAACGTCAACGTCAGTCACAATACTGCCATTACAATACCAAACGTCAACGTTAGTTACAATACTGACATTACCATACCAAACGTGAACGTCAGTTACAATAATCACATTACAATTCCAAACGTCGACGGCAGTCACAATACTAACATTACAATGCAAACGTCAACGTCAGTTACAATACTGACATTACAATACCAAACGTCAAGGGCAGTTACAATACTGACATTACAATACCAAACGTCAAGGGCAGTTACAATACTGACATTACAATACCAAACGTCAACAGCACTTACAATACTGATGTTACAATACCAAACGTCAATGGCAGTTACAATAGTGATATTACAATACCAAACGTCAATGGCAGTCACAATACTGGCATTACAATACCAAACGTCAATGGCAGTTACAATACTGACATTACAATACCAAACGTCAACAGCACTTACAATACTGATATTACAATACCAAACGTCAATGGCAGTTACAATACTGATATTACAATACCAAACGTCAACGTCATTCACAATACTGACGTTACAATACCAAACGTCAACAGCATTTACAATACTGACATTACAATACCAAACGTCAACAGCACTTACAATACTGATATTACAATACCAAACGTCAATGGCAGTTACAATACTGATATTACAATACCAAACGTCAACGTCAGTCACAATACTGACATTATAATACCAAACGTCAACAGCACTTACAATACTGATATTACAATACCAACATCAATGGCAGTCACAATACTGACATTACAATACCAAACGTCAACGTCAGTCACAATACTAACATTACAATACCAAACTTCAAGGGCTGTTACAATACTGATATTACAATACCAAACGTCAACGTCAGTCACAATACTGACATTACAATACCAAACGCCAATGTCAGTCACAATACTGACATTACAATACCAAACGTCAACGGCAGTTACAATACCAAACGTCAAAGGCAGTTACAATACTGGCATTACAATAGCAAACGTGAACGACGGTTACAATACTGACACTACAAAAATGACTTGGTTTCCTGAAATCTGGAAACCATCCGTATACTGGGTAAATGGGGAATCAGTTATTCACTGAAACTGACTAAGTTTCCATCTACATTTTGGATTCTTTGATTTTTGCATTTCAAACGAACAAGAACCAAGGTTATATGTTTCTTGTTGGTTTCCACAATACTATTGAAGATAAACTACTTTCATGTCATATTACATTATCAGTTATGGCGTAGAATAATTATGAGGTCTTAAAATTCAAATTGAATATGCCTGGGGAAGGAACAGCAGATTTACATTTGAAAGAGTACGTAATTTGTAAAATTGCTTAGATGAACAAGAAGAAAGGTTACCCCAAATAGTTGGTGACGTATTGGTCAACTTTATATTTACCTGTTTTTGTTGAACAAGATGTTGAGTGTGTGGGACACCAAATCACTATACTGTTATAATTTAGATATATATGACTCATGAAGTGTTTCACTTGTGTTCGACAATAACTGTGAAGTCTGAAAAGCTTAGATGAACAATCCTCAGTTATCAAATTTTATCATTTATTACAATCTGAATTGTTATTAAATACCAATTATTTATCGTCATTTCATATCATGGGGAATTTTGAAAATCTAAATAGATGGATGATATTCTACGATGAGTAACAATTTTCACTGTAGTAATGAAAAAGCTTAAACGTCAAAAAGTGAAATTTGAGGGAAAACTCGGTTGAATTATTTCTGCTTTAGAATGTGAAAGAGTATAAGCATTCAGGAAGTTTAGTATAATGTAATTCAAACAATTGTCAATCCGGTACATACATTACGGATTTCTCAATAACTAGAATATCATGGAATTGTACTATGAATTGAGGTTGTGAGTAATGTTTACCATTAAAAGCATTTAAAGTTAGTATAAGCTTTGACAGTGAGTTCAAGTACTTGACAAACAATCAGTGTCATGTCATTTGTATGTCGGGGCCTGTGTGTCGGCTCCCGTGGGGTTGTCTCGTCTTAACGGGCACCTATTATCAAGATTGAATTGCTGTAGAAGTAATGAGTCGGTAATCCGTGGGCACGCGCGAACTCGTGACATTTCATAAAAGCAATGTTTTTATGTACTGAAGTGGTCATTTTCGTCTTTTATGTCTTGAAATCACAACCAAATTGGGTCAGATAATGTTTTCATACCTTCCAATCGAAAAGGGATTAGGTGTTTGTTATTACCCACAATGCCCCTACACACAATTGCCGCCATTTTGTCACTTGAACTCATGAGAAGTTGTTTTGAAAGTGGGCCAAAGTGTCTACCGTTTTTAACACAACAAGTCACCCAGTACAATGAATTATTCCTTCGCTTGTCCATGTTATCTGAATGAAGAAAATAGCAATGCAATTAACGCTAGAATCTTTGGAGGCTCGGGTACGTGAAAACTTGAAAAAAGGAGCAGTCGTCGATCGCGGAGGGAGAAAGGGAACATTCCACGACCATGTCAGGTACAGTGTACATTTCTTGAATTAAGCAATAGCTCATGTTATGTGTAACGTTTAATGTACATAAGTAGCTAGGACAATACATATGTATTTAAAGTTATAGACTTGATGGAACTCGATAAGTACTTGCGTGTCGAAATGTTGGCAAGAGATATGGCTTCCTTTACTTAGTCAACTCAAGAACTCGATTGTGATTTGGATCAGGTAACATACGACTAAATGGTTCATTATCGTAATATATGAAATATTGTCTTTGCAAGAAGAATATGAACCACAAATATATCCAGCAATGTCACGACTCAAGATAACTTCCAAACGTATTTAGAAATATTCGAATATTATTGCAAGAAATCCAATGATTGGAAGTTCTATTTTAAAGTTTGTTATTGAAAATTACTTTTGATATTTGTACCACTCAAAACAATTCAGTGGGGGAGAGTGAGTCATTTTGCATTTATAGGTTTTCAAGTCAGTACAGGATAGATTACTGATGTATGAGGAAATTTAAGTTAATCATCTGAATGTCAAGATATTTAACTCTGAATGAAGAGATGTGGATTTTGTTAGATCCACAAAAACAGTTTGCAAAGAAAGTTGGATATATAGAACGTTTAATAGGATATGTTGGGGATAAATTGATGTACATTGTCAACCTAAAATTATATGAACTTGTTAATTTTGCTTCTTTTGATATTAGCATATCTACACCTTGCAAATTGATATCTATTCTTCTATTTTCATGCCTTATTGTTATCAAGAGTACAATATCACTTCGAAAGTTCCTGATTTTCCCCTTAATTTCCAGCATTCCATTGGGGCAGTGTTGGAAAAACTGAAGATGACTAACTGATATTTACCTGCAACAGGTATGTGTAATCCAAACCCTTCAGTAAATGATGTACATACAATTATCCAAATAATGTAAATCCTATGAATCAGAAAAATACATAAAAATTACACAACCACTATTTTTGTAGCTTCCAACTGGAAATATTTTCCAATGTACATAATGTTTTGGTCCGGACATATTTCACCTTGCACATATCAATTAACAATTTATTAACAAGACCCCACTAAATAGTAGCTGCAAACACATTGTCAATAGCAGTATGAGATATTAGTTATGGAGGTCCGCCTATGACCCCATTCAATTTCTTGTCTGCCAGAATGAACCCAAATTATTTTGTTATTTTTAAAACCCAAATATTTCTTTTCACATTATTTTCAGATTAATTGATAATTCGTAGTTCTATACATATAATATAAAAGCATAATGCATGTAACATTCAGAAAATCAGTTATAGCTTTCACATAAGAATTCCTCGGAAATATAGGCTATGATAGCATGAATTTAGTGTGCATTCCTACGAAATGTTATTAATTCAATGTCAATGTTTTCTATATAAGTCAAAACTGTTATTTATTGAAAGAAAATCTTTTTTGTCAGTCATCAAATGTCCAACCCAGGCTAAGGGAATACGTCAATCTCTCGCTTGTCTCTCTACTCATTAAGTTCTTCTGCGATTGGAACTTTTGTCACTTTTCAGGTCAAATGATCAGTTTTGATTTATTGAACTTCGTGCTTATTGGACAGTGGTTACAGTTTATATTTCCTTTAGCTTAAGGAACATTGCACAGTTTTCCTTTCTCCAGCTAACGATAGTGTTAACGAATGCTTGTTTGTACTGAATGTTTATTGTTTTCTAACTTTTTCAGAAGCTGGACAACGATTGACTGTCCGGAGAAGAAACAGAAAGTTATTCCTCTCTTGGGGAAAGAGTTAACATTTCTCAAATTGGAAAACCAAATAATATGGATTCATCTACATTGATAAGTTTAAGAAAACATCCCATACACACTGCTATGTATTCCCTTATTGCTTTTTATTATTTATGCATTTTGAAATTTCAGTTTTTATTGATGTGAACTTTCAAATATCAGTTGTTCATCAGCAAATTATTGAATACAAATAAAGCTATCATGACTTTGTGTTTTATTCTGTTATTTGTCATCCTGACATGACGGTTTTACCATTGTGCAATTGTATAAAATACCTGATTTGTGTTGCATGAAACACAACCTCTTTTCTGAAGGAGCGGGTAATGGGCCAGCACAACAGATTCAGTTTCATGGAAACCAGGTTATAAGCCGGGAGCTAGGTTGGAAACAACAATAAACTAAGCACCAGCAGGAGCCCCCATTAACGAGTGGGCAAGGTCCCGACATGCATACTATCCAGATACTGTTGCAAAATGTAGTTTCAGTTTTAGTGGAAACTAGGTTATAACTTGGGAACTAGGTTGAAACCTACAACTAACTAAACCGTGTAAACCAGGTTGAAACCTACAACAAACTAAAACATGGAAACCAGGTTGAAACCTACAATAAACGAAAACACGGAAACTAGCTGGATCTGGCTTGGAGGAGTTGGTAATGAAACGCACTGGAAACCAGCCGGAAATGGTTGCAAACTTCAGTTTCAGTTTTCATGGAAACCACAATGAAACTATAGAAAACTACATGGAAACCAACTGGAAATGGTGGTTTCCATGTCGTTTCTTCTCAGTTTCAGTGTTCAAACAAACTTATTTTTGTAGTGTGACATTACAATACCAAACGTGAACGTCAGTTACAATACTGACATTACAATACCAAACGTCAACAGCAGTCACAATACTAACATTACAATACCAAACGTGAACGTCAGTTACAATACTGACATTACAACACCAAATGTCAACGTCAGTTACAAAACTGACATAGCAATACCAAACGTCAACGCCTGTTACAAAACTGACATAACAACACCAAACGTCAACGCCAGTTACAAAACTGACATAAGAACACTAAACGTCATCGCCAGTCGCAATACTGACATTACAACACCAACGTCAACGTCAATCTACAAATGCAGTGGGTACACCATAAAGGAGTTCCATTTTTAAATGGACGAAATATTACTACAGTCGGTGGAAACATGTACCAACGATCTGAAACTTGTACCAACGATAGTCACTGAAGTATCCGAATTATCTTGCAAGAAGTGGAGACGGGGAAGACATCCACGTGCATGTGGCATTCACTCGTATTTGCAAAACAATGCTGCAGCTTTTGTACTTCGTCACTCATTATATTTGTAAGGCGTGTAGTCTTTTCTCATACGTTCAACTGCAAGACTCGAAAAAACAATTACCCTTGCAATGTGTGCTTGCCTCACGCCATTGTAGCAACATCTCTGATGGGAATTAGGGAATTCAACAAGAACAAATTTTCTACTGTTTTTTTTTTAATGAGTTAGCTTATAATCACCACGCATACATATTTAGGGGATAACTGTACTGTGTTTGACGAATTGGGGACGTATACCGGTGGTTATATAGCCGCAAATTTAACATTATATTGGCAACGCCGAAATTTAGTTATATCGGCGACCCTGAAGCAGAGCCGACATAACGTAAAATTTGCGGCTATATAACCACCGGTATACGTGCCCCATGCGTCAAAACACAGTACAGTTATCCCCATTCTAATTCAACTCGTTTTACACTGTTTTTTTCATTATTTAAGTTCCTCTAGGTCAAAGGTTAATCACTTCTTGAACTTACACCATCGCTAGAAAAAGTAGTTCCCTATTCAAACTTCAACACGTTTATTATGTGCACACTGTCTAAATCTGATGAATAAATCATAGTGTTGTAGATAGAAAGGACGGAATTATGATGAAACCACTCTCTCGCTAACAGAAATGAGCGGCCCGCTGATTCCTCAACTACAGGCCATTATAAGTTATGTTGTGGAATGACGTCATAGTGACGTCATAAATCTTGTTTCATGATCTAACAGTGTTGGGTCAACAGCCCGTTGCCAGTAAGTTGTTTTAACTTAAAATTAAATTTATGATACTGTTTTGTCTTTTTTTAACACACATTCAACCCATTTAGCTGGATAGGCAGGTTTTGGTAAATCGGTTTTCAAATTGCGACCGTATATGCTGATTATATGGTCGGAAATTGTATAGCATTGACCAATCAGAACTCGTGTTACATACTAAGTTGAATTAGAATCAAGTATTTCATATTTCATAATTATACACACTGGATGTAGTAGCTACTACTGGCTTTGTGTTGTGTAAATAGTACACTTTGACAGAGATGTATGTAAATACATGGCGATGCCATGTACGTGATCATTGTAAACGTCCTTCTTCATAGAGAAGATATTATCAAGTTATGAAGTATTCCTTAGAAGCACTCAATTCGAGTGTCTGTGAGTTCAAATCACCATCACTGTCAGCATCACGACAGAGCCTTGACAATCATGGCTTTCTTCTCCTCCGTCATGTTGATGTCGCTGCCCACTACAAGTCTCATGCTGACAGTGAGGAAATTTCGGTTATACACCCCGAACATCGGCCACAGTGGTTCACTAAAGTCTACATTGTCTAACGTCGACATGACTTTCTTCTCCTTCACATCAATGAAGACAATTTTCTTCCTGGCGTCATCATAGACAACACCGTAATGTAGTGTGTGTGATGTCCCTGCTGTGTTGGGAAGAGTGTCAGGCAGATGAAGCACATACTGCCCCTCCTTCCATATCCTCCTGCATGTCCCGCCGTGTGTAGTACACTGGGCAACGTTCATACAGTAGGAGTAAGGACGTAAACCTGTACAATGATGCACGTCCATCTGCTCCTGCCTACATACTCCAACCTCCAGGATGAGCCAGTTTTCTGGGAGTGGTTTGTCCAGACTGACCCTGTTCTCCACCTCCCAGTACTGGTGACAACCATCCTGGGGGAGGGGGTCAGTACTGCATGTGCCCGAGTACTTCTTCAGTCTGCCCTTCCCTGCAGGTCTGGTGTCCGACTTCCTGTTGACCAGGTCTCCTTCCGTGTTGATGTGGACGTAGGCGAGACTGACTCTGTCTTTGTCATACTTTAGAGGTACACCTACAAAATATGGATGTGAAATGAATGAGAATTATATGAATAACTCTCGCTGTAATGATATTGTAATGTTTGGAATTCACAGCTTAGTAAATGTACCTTTATCCAAGCAGTGTAACATAATCGGAATGCAGCAATAAAATCTACTGAGTGTTGCATTTTGACCTTAGCACTGAGTCACATTGAATTAACTGATAAGCCACTACTCCGGATATAGCTTGTGTTCCGTCGGTTATCAAACGGTGGACACAGGACGTCAACAAAAATATTCATACAACATATATTTCCTATTTACAGTTCATATTCTAAATTGCTGCACACAATAAACACCCAGAGAGTGGATCTGTATACCCAGACACAGTTCATTAGTGTCTTACAACGGAAACGCAGACGAACGCGGTATAACGAGGAACGTGAAGATTGCATGTAAACAATGTTAAGCTCACTGTAATTTGAGTCAACATGGCTGATTTAGTTACCCATGCACACCAAACACAAACTTTGCGGCTGGTAAGCAGCAGCGTCAGAGTGACGACGTTTTTATTTGTTGTATTTATTGGGTCAATCATGTATAAAACGTGCACATGAATATGGATTTCATTCCATTAATCATAAAGATATGCGCAAGGGACTTTTTGATTGTTGATAGAAATAATGTTGTCAATGATGCAACTCCAATCATTATTTGACATCGCTATTTCATATTTCTTGTCAACATGCATGTATTAAATAGAACAACATCATGAATATCCACAGGAGTAGTAGTATATACAATGGGGGTTTTGGATCACTTTCAACAAAAGCCTCTGCAAAGCCTTATTTCACAAATAAGGCTTTGGTCGGACCCTTAGCTCTTGCTACCATTACCCCTACTATAAAAAAGTTTGAGACGCCAGTGGGATACGAAAGCCCAATGTTATACCTCACAACTCGCACCACTGAGCTACCGGGGACTTGGCTGAAGTATGTTGGTTTAACGGGTCTATCCTGAGATTGCATCACCCAAAGCTGGGCTGCGTCTAACGTGCCGTTATGGCACTACTGTGCCGCTATGCCGCGTTGACCTCGATGAAACAGTTTAATGTGAATCTCCTATGATCTCTTTGGTGTTTGTAATAAAGGCTTGCTGGGCTTTTTTCACCCCTTGTTCTATGTACTTTTTTTTCTCGTCCTCACTGATAGCAGACTTACGAGACTTGGATCGAATCTCTTGTTTCATTTTATTATATTTTGTGAGTTCAGAGAGGATTGAACGAAACTCCTCCTCGGAGATCTTACTGTCAGTGAGTGCCGTGGATATACGCTCACTTACTGAGTTCAGCTTTGCTTCAGCCAGAACCCTGATCTCGTCGTGTTTCAATGCCTTACGATGCAGTCTGCGTGATGCAAACTTAAGCACCAACCCTAACACCCCTGCCACCCCAGCTGTTATTTCAATGCCTAGCACTACGGGGGTTGCCACGATGGTAGCTAACAACCCAACACCTGCCGCCCCCAGCCCCATGCTGGTTGTCATAAGGGCAGTATCAGCTCCGTCCACGATATTGAAAGCTCTATGGTACTTCTTACATAGTGCTTTACGCGTGTTGCGGTCTTGTTCTAGTTGGCGTTTCACATCACATAACTGTCTCAAACGGAACCCGTCTACAGTTTCCAGGGTCTTCGCTACTTCCTCTACGACTGGGTATAGACCCATCCTATAATATATATATATTACAAAAGATATTTCAATTGGGTTTCATTTAACCTTTGATTAATGTACTTAAAGCCGATAATACTTAGATTAATTTGCACATAAAAAAGCGGGGTCTTAGCTCTACTTCCATTAAGGAGGCGAACCCCATCAAGGCTTGCTAAAGGTTCGTTTCCCGATACCTTAGTAATACGGCAAC